ATTTCCAGTGGCGTACGGTTCACCCAGTTTGCATGGATTGGTGAATACTGCAAAATTGCAAACTATCATTATAACCCATTCCTAGCACTTCAGTCTGCTCGGTTTTGCTCTTTGCAGTAATCCTTCCAACCTGGACATCTCTGCTCACAGTCTTCACGAGTGAGGAAGTTATTAGCATTCCCATGTAATCCGCGATATTCGAATGGTACACATTTGCGGATGTTCCCATCGAAAGCCCATCTTGTCGCATGATGGGGTCCATCACCAGGGTTGCGTGGAGGTGCGGTGCATGGATTTGGAAGAGCTGAAGATACCAGGTTATACACCACAGACAATACATAACTCTTAGTAAACTCGTTTAGAGAGCTTTGAATTACCATAATTTTTCCTATGAGCATAATTGCTATGAATATTGATTCATGTAAAATTTGAACTTCTAGGGTTAGAAAGAACATTCAAATTTGATTACGATTTTATACGCTCATTAATCAGACTTCTTGCAATGGTTTTAGTATTAAGAACAAATTGTATGGGCACAGATTGAATATCCTGAGCATTTATAAACCATAAGCAATCATTCTACATGCAGTAAGCATAAGAGTTTTTATGTTGACACTTCTCTCGAAGTCTCTTTCTACTTTCAAAACTTGCTCGATTTTTTTCCTAAATTTCTAGCAATAAAAAAGTAGCTTTGGTTGTAATGCTTAGGAACTCTTTTGTTTCGTTTTGGGATGGCTATCTTCTCAGTGCAAATGATCTATCCATAACGCAATACTAAACATAACTCTAAGAAAAACCCCCTTCACATAACCATTGCGATATCATCCTCTGAGTGAACATAGTTGAAAGTTTTATTACACTGAATCTGATTAAGGGTCCTTTTCTCCGTTGTTGATTTTTTCGTTTCATACTATTTTGAAATTAACAAAATAGGTAAGTGACATAGAATTAATGCTATAACCATGTGAGTCATACAATACTTTCCATCTTCAAAATTCAGGCGAGAGCTGTGCAATTCTATTTATACTTGTAATTTTGATGTATAATACCAGAGCTACAAGCAAAATTGATTTCTTTCAACTCGTAATTTTAAAGAAATCCAGCAGGTTTTTGAAAGCAAAAAAAAATTTGTGTCAACATAAGGTAGTTTTCTCTCAATATTACACATATTTATCTAAATGATTATGATTAAATGCAGTAGTAGTTGCACTATGACAGAGATTGTCTCAAACTTCAAGAATTTGTTCCTCGATATTGATTGCAACGTCCTATCCATTATGATGTATTAAGAAGTACGAAATACCGTGTTGCTCTCACTTTCTACCACAGCTGAGGTTATGGCATATAGCATAGAAACATTGCAGCAATATCTCGAGCATTTTATTCCAAGTGCTATTAAAGCGATAATTCCAGTTTAATTCCAGATCAAAATT